AAGAGCATAATTTCGCCAAAAAAAGCAATGCTACTAGCATAATATGCTACTTTTACTAGCATAATCTATAAAGGCCTAAAGTCCACATATTGACTGCGTAACTGAAAACTCCAAAATTGAAATGGCTAATACAAAATTAAAACAAAGTTCACTGATTAAACGAAACTTTCTAGAATTTCTTTTTTGGTTTGAGAGGGTTGAGTTCAACAGATGGCTTTAAATGAGCTTAGTAACGTCGATTAAAATTTGTAATAGCGCGCTTTTCAATAGTGTTGTAAAACGAAGACCAACGCAGTCACAACGCCCATTTGAAAGAATGGAAGATACCTGTAAATCCCCAAGGTGATCATAATTAATTTTTGTAATTTATCCTCACAGTGGAAACATGAACAATGAGCTTTACAGCCGTGGTAGATGAGAAACAATCACTTATGTAGGGAAATTCGCCAGAAAAAAACGTCTGTAACCTGTAGTAGAATAAAATATGCAAATTCTATGGATTAGTTGAAAGTGAATTCTACAGAACTTCTTGAATTCAGTTGTTACCCTGAACAAAGTAACACTTGTTCCCAAATTATTCACCCAAGATCGTTGTGGCCTTAAGCTATCAAAAGATGGGATTTGTCCCAATACTTGGTCAACAAGTTTCTTAACTAGCGTGTTTTCCTCATGAGACCAATAAGTAATTGTCTTTGTTCTAAAATATGGTCAGTAATCATTTTAAAAACATCAATAAGCAGTTGTTTCTTTCTATTGTGAAAAGTTTGCAACGTGTTTCTCAGGTAAGTAGGACTCAAGAAATGTTACTTCTGCAACAGTGCAAGCCATCTGGAAATTTGCTTGCAGGACATGGCATCCAGTCAGATTGTCAATGGGAGCATTACTTCCTTCAGCCCTTGTTCTGACTTCTGATAGAAGTGATTTCCCAATTCTATCTGGGCATGCACTATATCGTGGATCTGACGGTGGATAGAAAAACCCCCTTGAAACAAGTAGCACATTTAATTTGTTATCATTGCCAAGCGCTGAAAAAATGCCAAATACATAGACAACTGTCATAACATCAATTTATTCTATCGCATTGAAATGGTTCAATAATATTTAATAGTTTAAATGTTATGACCCCCAGCTCTCTAGAATTGTGAAGGAAAATTGAATACTGTTAAAGCTCCATTAAGCCCCCCTCTCTAACACTCCTCGTGCCCCACCCCAACACACACACACACACACACACACGCACATACTCACAATCCTAAGTGGTCAGAAAAAACAAATAAAATATTAAAAAAGTCTAGAGGAAATAGACAGTTCAAACATTGAGCCACTATAACTTGACCTTTGGTCAGTTGAAAGGAAACTTTGGTTTTTTGATATTCAAGCATAACATAAAGCTAACCCTGGTGTAAATGGTGCTTCACAACCAATTCGCTTATTCTATCTTGGCGGGGAAACAGAAGTTTCAAAAATTTAATTTAAGTTTACCCATGAATTTGCAATTTGAAATATACCACGGCTCTCAATTAAGCCCCATAAGTTACTGAATAAACCTGAAAGCTCTTTAAATAACTCGATTGCATTTCCCTCAAATTGATGACCTCTTGCGAAGTTCTTAAATGTTTTTGGTGCAGCAAGAGATTCATCAATATTGTTGTGGATGAAGAACCAGGATCGAATAAATTCTTTCTGAACGTGGAAGCCTAACAAGTATGGAAGCTTGCTTGCACTAATTACTACAACCCTCAAAGATTGCCATTCACTTGACCGCTGATCCACCTTCACATAATTGCACCCATACGGTTCAGGTTTATTCGTGTACTTTGGTAATGACAATATTTTCATTTCTCCCTCTGCATTGTGGACAATCTCCAGAAGCTCCTTCATTGCGTTCTTTTCATTTACAAACAGCAAATCAGACTTTGCATTTGTATGGCTTTCCTTTAATTGGGAGGCATCCTTTTGCTCAGTCAATTTCTTATCATCAATCACAACATATGAATGCCAGACATCATTGGACATTACAGAGACTCGTGGCCTCAAAACTGCCTGGTCACATGTTTCACTCTTCATAGAAAAACTGCGATCCTCCAGAACAGCCCTTAGTTTGAAAACATTGTTGCACCGCAACTGCATGGAAAGACCAGAAACAATACTGAACTTAGTCAAAGTCTTGAAGAAATGTTTGTGTAGATTCTGGCCATCAATGCCACTTTTGATGACAGTTTCAACTTGACTGATTCACATCTCGTTTTAGCCAGCTCTTAGTTTGAAAACATTATCGTACCGCAACTGCATGGAAAGACCAGAAACAGTTCTGAACTTCAACTCAGTGCCTTGAAGAAATAATTGTGTAGATTCTGACGATCAATGCCATTTTTGATAACATTTTCAACTTGATTCTCATCTGGTTTTGGCCAGTCACTTTTCAAATCATCACCACTGGCAGGTACATTGACATCCTTCTTCTTGTTTTTCTTTTACCATCGAGGGCAAGGGTGTAGCCAGGGGTCCTGGGGTGCCCGTGATCTCCCCTTTGAAAAATCCTGGCTACGCCCCTGGAGGGGGTTTCGTGAAGATCGCATATTGCGAAAGTTTTTGAGAGGTCCATGAGACACACTTGTTGCTTTTCGAGGAGACAGGTTTCATTTTTTATGCCGTGTTTGCATTCTCTGTGTCCCTGTTAAGGTTAGAAGTTTTACCTTGTGTACGTTAAAATGATTTCAGTGCATCAAGCGAGCGATTATGTGGCAACAGATTCCACATTTTTCAATTGCACACGTGCAGTGACCTTTTATAGGTACATTGGTGTCAAATAAAATGGTAGTGGACGGGTGATTTCCTGTCCAAACAGTTTTCAGAACTAACGCCTTGAAAAAAACAAACGTACTTTTGTCCTCGACTTTGATGAATTTAACCGATTTTATTTTCCTAAACAAAAAGCAACCATTCTCTTGGCTTTTTGGTACTGACCTTTGCGTCCCTGTCGTTTAAAGGATACATAATGAGAAATAGTCTCTGCCGTTACCTTAGGGTAAAAAGAGCCGTCTAGGAGCCACTCGCCAGAAGGTGGTGGTGTTTTATCCATACTCGTCTTGAACTTGAAACTCTTATTAATTTCCTTGATCTGTTTCTCAAGCAAATCATTATCCGAGTTCTGAAATGGCAGTAGTCGATGAGCAAGCTCGTGCTTTGTTCCCGAAGCCTTCAATTTGAGCTTGCTAAGAAGCGATTTTAGCTCGTCAACGCCCCACTTTTTGATGTCTTCTGTCACCCACTCTGCAAACTTTTTGTCTTCGTCTATGTTTCTTTATTAAAATCGATCTGGATCAGTTCCAAAAATTAATGATTTCTCTATGCTCGCTGTAAATTTAAAGTGCAGTCTCTCATCTGTTGTGCAAATGTCCGGCAGGTGCAAAACTCGCCCCAGTCCCTCACGATACGAAAACCGGCAATGAAGCGACTAGCAGTATTACTACTCTCCCCTGGACAGGATATTCGCCTATGGCAAGGTTACCCCCCAGCATTTCATGAGGCTTCCCTGAAAATTCACCAGCACCCATTTCTACTCCTGGGTGGAGAGAGGCACTGGGAGAGGAAAGTGTCTTGCCTAAGAACACAACACATTGACTCAGCTAAGCCTCGAACACAGACCCCTCGACCCGGCCAGGTCTCAAGCGCACACCTCTCGACCCGTAGTCCGGTGTACTGACCGTCAAGCCAAATCATTAACTGCCTTCCAATTGTTAAAAACAACAAGTAGGTTGGACCTCATTCGCATTTCTGATTTAAAAAATAGCTTAGTAGCTAGCAAAAGTTGACGCACATGTTCCCTCGATTCTGTTAACTCTTCTCGTTTTTTGTCAATGTTCAAGTTCAAAGATAAAAAAACTCGGCATGAACTGAAGCAATTGAAAGCACTTTATCAGAAAGCTGATATGTTTACAATGCGCATAATTAAATAGAGAAGATAACTCTTTGGTGTGCAGAATAGATTTAGGAGCTTAGTTTATTATTTTTTTTTTTTTCGCAATTTAATGACAAATTTAGCGAGCATTCTAAATGGTCTATCTTGAGCTGTGTTTACTTCTCTACATTTTACTTAAGGATACCATTAACTAATGAAAAAAATTACGTGTTAGTGAATAACTGGAGTAAAAAATATATCCACTAGGGAGCAGTAGTTACACCGAGGAATTTCAAGCAAAGACGAAGATTTAAAAAGAGAATTTTCATTCGCCTCGCAATTACGTATCCATTGCTCCTAACACGCTGAGCAATTCAATATTGCCAAATGTGTCAGTTTACTTCCGATGAGATTTTTGATCTTCCAAGCCTCGAAATTTCTAAAAAGCAATTACCGAGATTGCAATTTCCGAACAGCTTGTATATTGTAAACTAAGCGATGAGTTCTCGCAAATCTACTCTTTTGTCTTTTCCTTAAGCAGTGCTAAAAACTTCAGTCATACAAACATCGAGTCAGATAACAAGGTTTATTAGAACTATATACATTTGAAAATAACTCCACCTAAATATTCAACTTCCAGAATTGCAACAAGTAATACGAACCCCCGCCGGTGACTATTGCAAGGTGTCATTATGGGTGAAGACGTTGTAATTCTAAATCCGAAGAAATTATACAAAAACGTGGGCTGAGCTGTGACTATACCTTGAGTGTTGAAGCGTTCATAAATATTATCAATTTAAGATGCACTGAATAGCAATTTTAATAACCAACCACTTGAGCCCTACTCCTTCTCGTTATGAAGTTTGTTTTTTCCAAATTATCAATTTTAAACTTCTGACATGTTGAAGAGGTCTCTTACATAGGCCAAACACACGCTGACGCATGCAAGTATATAAAATAAGGATCCAAAACAGCACTTTTTTAACAAAATCTTTAAATACAAGCAGAAGTGTTCGAGAACCTCCACGGGAACGTTTGTGAGATCACTGCAATAGAAAGGCAAGCCCCCGCTACCATTTTAGCAAACTTCAGTACAACAATGAATAACACACAGCCACCAAGCTGCATTAATCCCACAGCAGAAAAGATTGGAAAAACTTCTTCTTATTTCCTCATATTTTTTGTTTCTCTGATTGGAAATATCCTTATCGGAGTGATTGTCTTCAGGACGCCGACCATGAGAAAGCCCATCAACTTCTTCATCGTGAACATGGCCATGTCCGATCTGCTCTTCCCGTTGTTCCAGTTTCCACGGACTGTAACAGAGCTGTACGTCGACACTTGGATGATCAGAGGTCCTTTTGGCATGGCTTTGTGTAAAATAGTTCCATTTCTTGGAATTGTTTCTGCTCTCGTGTCGATTCAGAGCCTGGTACTGATAGCAGTGGATCGATTTGGTGCAGTGTTTTTTCCTCTCCGTTGCCCACTCTCCAGTTCAAAGCTTTGCGGACTCCTCATTCTCGCTACTTGGGTTATCGCCATGCTTGTAATGTGGCCAAACATGTCCTCTTATAAACTAGTCGAGTCTCCAGAAGGGCTGGCGTGCAAGCGGCAGTGGGAAGAAACCTTTGGAGAATCCTTCTCGTTTAACAACTACATTTTAGCAATGTTTGTTGCGTTCAGTTATGTTCCGCTAATTGCGATTGCCATACTTTACCTGACGATTCTCTTGAAGCTTAGGTCCCAGTCTCACAAGATTCGAGACGTGCAATCGGTCAACGCAGGAGAAATACGCGCAAGAAGGGAGCAAAATGTACTGAAAATGTCCATTGCGATCGTTTTGACATTTGCAATATGCTGGCTGCCACTCAGTATCTACTTTGTAATGATCTTATTTTCACTGAACAGCTCCATGCTAAGGTCTTGTGGCTTCCAATACTTTAACGCTGTTGTATTTTTCGTGTGGCATTCCAACTGTGCTATAAACCCTTGCATCTGTTTTATCTATGCCGGAAAATTCCGTCAAGGTTTTAAAAATATCTTTAGTTGCCTTTTCTCAAGCCAACGGGTGTAATTAGTCAACACCGTTGTACCCAGCTTTCGTTGATCCGAGATAACCGTTGTATTGCGCGACTAAAATACTCCAAAGCTTCTGTATTGTTAAGAAGTAGATCAGTTAATGAAATTGATTGAGTAAGGTTCGTTTTCCCTTATTTGACCGCAGTATCATTTCAGATCGTAAAACCGTAGATCGGAGTACAAATTGTCACTTAACAGTAAAATGAGGTTGGTTATATTACGCTCAAGGAAAGAGCGTTCGTTAAACATGGACACGTATACGCAATTTCAAATTTTCTTACAAGCATTTGAGGTTTTCCGGCCATTGTTTGAGCACCAAGTTTTTGTTGAACTTTTCAGTTCATTGATTGAACGCAACTTTCTAGGATCTTTTTTTTTTGAGAGGGCTGAGTTCAACAGAGGGCTTTAAATGAGCTTGGTATTGTATGAAACGTCGATTAAAACTCGTAATAGAGCGCTAGTGCCGTAAAACCAAGACCAATCCAATCGCAACAGCCACTTGGAAGAATGGAAGATACCCTTAAGAGCCAATGGGGAAGTCAAGTAAATACAACCAAACTGTCATCTGGAAACTCGATTTTTAAAAATTCTTTATTTTCATCTTTACAAACTGTCAAAGGCGCGGGAAAAGTTAGGCGACCATGTAGCATGACGCGACTAGTAATAATACTAGTCCACCCTGGCCACGATGTTCGTCCATGCAAGGTTACCCCCCCCCCTAGCATTTCATGAGGCTTCCCCGACAATTCACCAGTACCCAGCAATACTCCTGGGTGGAGAGAGGCACTGGGAGAGATTAAAGTGTCCTGCCTAAATCCTTGATGGTTTTCAAGTCAAAGCGACCGATAATGTGGAACTCTTAGGGGTTGTAATTGACAATAGGTTAAATTTTAAGAGTCATATATCTAAGTTAATCATAAGAAAGCAGGTAGACAAATTGGTGTACTTAATCGATTCAAACACATTCATTCATTTTCGTCAAAGATTCGTATATATAGGGCATTTATCATGCCTCACGTTACTTATCGTAGTTCCATTTGGAATAGCTGTCTCAAAAAAGATAGTGACCGATTAGAGAGATTACATGAGAGGGCCCTTAGATACGTGTTTAATGACTTTTCCAACGGATATGATAGTCTATGTTATAAGATTTGTAAAGTGTTGTGATGTTTAACTCAATCATTAATTTAGGACCAAAGTAATACATACAACAAAACGGCAGGAAAAATACTGCACGTGACAATTCATGTTATGTAAACAACGCGTGACCAGAAATTGTCCCATTATGTAATCGCACAATCAGATACTGTTACAAGATTGGTTACTCATTAAGTTGTAGACGGAAACAAGATATACTTTGAATAATTTTTAAAGCCCTCTATAACAATTTGCTTCAGTATATTCAATCTTTATTTCAAGTAACAGAAAATGAGAAAAATCTTAAGGGCAAAAACAAACTTGTTTTACCTGAAGCTAAGACCACAACTTACGGCCTTAAGTCGACTTCTTACATTGCTGCTAAGGCTTGGAATGCATTACCTGATAAGCTAAGGTTAATGGCCAGATTTGGCCCTTTCAGGAATGGGATAAGAAAACTAAGTAATTTGTAATTTTATATCATTATTTATATTTAGGCTTATATTTATTTTTAAACTCTGTAATTTATATTAATATATTTTCATAAGCAAGGGTTTCTTAAACTTTTGACGATAAAAATGAACGGTAAAACACGACGTTTCGACCGTGCTTCGGTCATTGTCAAGTGAATGGAATGAAATACAGTAAATATATGTATATATACACGTACGAAATATAAAAAAATTTTTTTGCAGGTGTAAACAAACAATAGAACTACAAAGAAAGCGCTAGTAAAAAGCTAATTAAAAACCTTTGCACGAATTGAATCAGACTGTACATTGAGAGCAGGTCTTAGCTTGTGAATAAAAAACATCTCATAGACGAGACAGTCAAATTTGTTCGTGCACTTCATTAAGGTGCTAAAGTTCTTTGTAAGTCAAAGAATGTTTGTCGCGAAAATGTTTGCCAATTGACGAAGAGGAGTTTTTATGTTCTTCAATACGTTGGTGTAGATGACGGCGTGTGAAACCAACATAACCTGCATCGCACAGGTCACATTGAAATTTGTAAACAAGGCACTGTTGGTTCACAATCGGCGGCTTAGCTTCTCGCAATTTGAGGTCTCGACCAATCTTCTGGCTAACAAATACAGGTTGTAAGGTCGTCTGGATCCTATGACTTAGATCTTTAAGTTGGGCACGAACAATATCAGCGGATGCCTGATCTTTATACGGTAGGACAACGCGAATGGGGTCCGATCGATCGCTGACAGCAGGTAAGGAAACTGGTTGATCAGATACTTTGGCGGCAACAAACCGTGAAATGGTAGAATTGACTAGATTATCAGGATATTTCAAACGAGAAAATACTGATTTAAGTCGATCGCATTCTTCAGAGAAATAACGCCAATTAGATGAAAGTCGAAATGCACGATCAAGCATAGTTTTTAATAACCCACGTTTGTAACGATCATCTACATGGCTCTTGTAATGTAGTAAAAGGCCCGTATTTGTAGGTTTGACGTACACCTTGGTCTCAACATGTGTACGTTTGTTGAGCAGCTGGGTGCCCAAAAAAGGGAGCATGCTGTTACTCTCTGTCTCCATGGTAAACTTAATAGAGGAATGGCACTGGTTTAAAATGTCGAGGAAATTGTCTGCTGATGCTTTGTTCGGCATAATGGTCAATGT